TAATGTTTTTGTAGTATTAGTTTCAGCAGACTGTGTTTTTCTATTGTTGTGACTTAGATGAAGTTCAGAGCACATTTTATGATCAATTCATGCAAAACTCCACGTAATCTCAAGGGGTTCACATACTTTGCCTTGCAACTGTGTGTGTGCGTGTGTGTGTGCACGCTCTCATTGAACTATGCTATTTGTTTTTTTACTTAGGCTCTTCAGTTACTGCATTCATTTCCTATTGATACACGATTAAAGGATGGCAGTAAGTGCAGTAATTTTATATTCTATCAAATTTAATTTTGCTGTTTTTAGCAATTAATTTGTTTTTCTTTGAATTGGCAGGTTTGTTTTGGCAATCACCAAAAAGGCCACCTTTTCCAATTCAGTTTGATTTTAATGACTCCTTGTAAGTACAATTCTCTTTTTTATATGTTGTTATTGTAATTGACAAGAATATTTATAGATTTATAGAACTAGTTTTATATTGGTATTTGTATACAAATATGGTATCGAAAGATCTTTTATGACTGAGAATAAGCTCTAAGTCCTGTAATAAAGCCTTCTGATGTACACATGTGTTACATGTGTACAAAAAATTGCTTTTTTTTGGCTATACTTGTTTAGTGTTATCTCTGAATATGTCATTCAGTAACATATATTTTTATACATGCCAATCACATGAAAGTGCTAATTTTAGAAATATTTCAATGAAAATTCATGCCTAATGGTTTGTATTTATATCAAAATGAGGATTTAAATTCTAGATCCAAGATACTGTTTCCTGATACTTCCAACTCCCCAAATTATTCATTGCTTTAAGTACTTTCTCTGTATTTTGTCATATGTCCATTGGAAAAATGCACCTTTTGTTTCCAAATCGTATCAAGATATGGGAATTCTGAGTCATTTATTTGGTTTTCTACAGCCAATAACAATTAACTTTGGGCTGATAATTCTTATTTTTATTTTATTTAATGGAGGTAGAGTAGCATCCTGAATACTTGCTCTGGCATAATAGTGCTTTATAATCATTTTAAGTTTCTAAATATAAATTGATGGACTGAAACAGAGAAGCAGAGAAAAAGATTGGTGGGTTGGTTGGAAGGATAACAAGGAGGGTACAAATAATGAAAATTTACAAACCCAAAGATTAATTCCTTGTCTACAAATGTTAGAAAAACATTGTCTCTAAGTATTCAACATCTTTTCTCCAGAGCATTATAATTGGAGAACTTTGATGAAATAATACCTATGATTCAAAAATAAGTCCCACAAATTATATTTCTAGGTATACATTGTGACTTTGTGCAGACTTTCAAAAGGCAGTCCTAGTTTTAGGAAGGTATCGGTTGATGCTGAACATTCTCACAGAACATTTTGCTATGTTTAAGAATATCAATTATTTTCTCCAAAGGAATCTGATTTGACTTGAGATTCAGTTAAATGTAGTTTGCTATAAACTTAATTGGAAAAGCTTTTTGTTTTAGTTTCCTACAATCTGTCTCTCCTTTTTTTTAGGCACTACAGTTTCATACTGAGTACAGCAAAACTGTTTGCAACAATTTATTGTATCTCTTTTACAGAAAAGGTAAACCTTCAAATAACTGATGCAGTATTCGCACTACAGGTAGTGCTTGAGAAACAACATGCCACTTAACAACAATTTAAAGTTATGACCGATAACCCAAAACTATATATGACCCTATTTCAAAGTTGCAACAGCTGCAGTGATACTGTGATCATTCATCCTTTTGACAGACCACTGGCATGCTGCAGGCAGTCCCCATCCCATCAGACTTGCAATTCTCGGGCGCCTCTCCTTGCCTCCTGGAAGCAGTTGTCATTTTTGCGCTAATCTTACTATAGCGTTTTCTTTAGAAGAAAAAAACCATGTCCAAAATTACTTGACTAGAGACTTATACCACAAAATGGAGGATGTCTTTGAAGCTTTAGCTGTCCATCTGACTTAGCGCCCAGCTAAGGCTGTCTTCCTCTAGCAGGCAGATGGAGACTTGAAGCTTGCAAACACCCAGCATCCTTTTATTTTGTTGAACAAATTTTGGAGATGATGTTCAAGGGAAAAAGTTGCAGAAATGTTTTATATCTTTGCTTCTTTATTCCTCTACTCTTCAGCTTAGAGTAAAGTATTTTAAAAAGGATAGAGATTGGAAAGCAGAGGGGGAATTTAGTTTTAGCAACTTTTTTTTTTTCTAAAATTAAACAAGTCAAGTCTGCTCTTTGGTTTCTTAAATTTTTATTGAAATGTGGTTTTCTGAGGAAAGGATGAAATTAAATAAGGGAAAAGTTTTAGGAAGCTATACCTGAAGCTGCCTTTTATGCAAGGCCTGGCTTTTCAAAACCAGGAAAATGGCAGAAGAGCTTTGAAATCTTCTGCTGGCCAGCTGATCAGAGTAGAAAGCCCTGAAAGGCAAGGTAACTGACCCTTTTTTGGCCCCCAAATCCAGGACATCTTAATAGGAGGAAGGGTAGAGACAGAATTAGGAAAGACAGGAGCAGTCAGTATTTTTTTTCCTCATTGTTTTTCCCTAGCAAGACAGTTATCTGTGTTGCAGGCCTGCTTACGGGTGAGGAAGGCCTAGAGAAGCCTGAAGCAGGCAGGCTTGTGCCTGCTAGGCATCCCAGGATCTCCCCACTAGCCTCAGAAAATGCATTGGGGAGAGCAGGGAGAGCTGGTTGTTACTTGAGGCAGCTCATTCAACATTGTCCCAATTTTCAAACCTAATGGCAGTCTTTATTAAGTCATAACTCAATGACTACCTGTAGTCTGTTTTTGTTAGTTTTTCAGAGTAACTTGAAAATTCAAGAAACAGGGGGAAAACCTTTTAAATCCAGTGTTTAGTTAGATTTAAAGGAGTAAGAATCCTTATAACAGATGTTTCAAATAAATCTTCTGAGTTGAATATTCTCGCTCTTCATTTTATCTTAAATATGCTTCCTGATACTCTACTTTTGAGGGGGGGTTTCTTGCAATATATTTATCCTTATCAATTATAATCTAATTTTTCACAAAAATATATACATAAGTATACACACATTGAGATTATTTCCATTCTGTAATATTAAAATATTACATTAAAATATTGTCTTTTAACAAAAGACAATAATCAACTTTGCTATTTTATTCATATAATTTTATATGTGGGAAAGAAATATTGTCTAGGAAACAGTCATATTTTGATAAACTTTGAAGAGTGCCTGTTTCAGACAGTTTATAATTATTGGGTGTTTTTTTTTTTAACAAAATATAGGATGTATCACAAGACACTATTTTCAAGATAATTACTGGGTTAAAAATTCAAGAATTTCGACCTTCTAACAAAGTAAGTTCAACTGTTGAATAATGTGTATCTTCTTTTTGTCTTTTTTTCTGATTATTGCCTAGGATAGTGGATAGATAGATGGATGAATGGAGATAGATAGAGACCCGAAAATAAGATCTATCCAAAAATAAACCCCAGCTTGATTTTATGTGTGTCTAATATACGCCCTATCCCCAAAATAAGCCCTAGTTAAGACCCTGCCCACTCTGTCCCATTGTTTGATTGTACGAGGTGAAGTGAGGCGCATGCATAAAAATCAAGCTAGGGGAAGGATGGTGGTGAAGCTGCCCCACGTGACCTGTACCTTCTTACCTTAGGACTAGTGCAGCAGGCCTTCCATGTCCCTACACCTGTCGCACTGCTGCCTGACATCTTCGGCTGCTTGCAGTTGCTCTCAGCCAGACGCCACATGGCTCATTGCACTGCTGCTGCCACTAGCAGCAGGAGGCCATGTGGCTCATCGCACTGGTGCCGCCACTCATGCTCGCAATGGCGCAACCTGCCGCAGCGCCCTCTGCCATGAGCAGTGGCATCAACACGGCAAGCCACACAACGTATGGCTGTGAATGTCTGCAAGTGGCTGAAAAAATCAGGCAGCAGCGCGACAGGTGTCAGGGTATGGGAGGCTGGCTATGGTGGTCCTAAGGTAAGTGGGTAAGACATCCCTTAAAAATAAGACCTAGTGCTTATTTTGGGGCCCAGAAGAAAATACGACTGGGTCTTAATTTGGGGAAAACACAGTGGATGGATGGATGGATGGATGGATGGATGGATGGTAGGTAGGTAGGTAGGTAGGTAGGTAGGTAGGTAGGCAGGCAGGCAGGCAGGCAG